CATAAACATAATCTGTATGCCCAACATTGTAATACAAATCGTTGTAAGAGAAGTGTGATAAACATGGGCATAAAACTATACAATAATCTTCCTATGGAGTTAAAGAATGTATCTGATTTTAAAGTGTTTAGGAGGAAATTGAAGTGTTATTTGTTGCATAATGCCTTCTACTCTCTTCAGGAGTTTTTTTATATGTAAGATGTTGAATTAAATGACTGTAATTGTCTGTTAATGCATGTGCTGGTGTTTTTTATATTAAATATTTAAGTATTTATGTATTCTTTGATTGTGTTAGGTGTGATTGTTATTAAATCTATATATTCCCTTTGACTTTATCCGATTGTATATTTTACAGTTATGGATGTAAATAAAATTATTATTATTATTATTATTATGATAGAGCTGGGCTCTTTAAGGATATGGAGGAATTTCATGTCCCTAGAAAACTTAGATGTCTAGTGGAGCTTACTCTTAGAACTGTAAGATGCAGTTAAAACTTTTAATGGAGTAACTGACTCCTTTGAGGTTAAGAAAGGACTCAGACAAGAAGATGCTTTGTCATGCCTTTTGTTTAATCTAGCCCTACATAAGGTTATAAGAGAGACCAGTCTGGGTATAAGAGGAACCATACTCCATAAATCTCTACAGATATTAGCATATGTTGACGATATTGTAGATAGGAAAGAACAGTCAAAGAAGCATACGCAAAGGTGAAGTAATCATTAATGACAAAAAAACCTAAATTTATGGAAGTTAGCAGTAATAAAACTAAAGAGAAGTATATTATAACAGATAACAAAAAGAAAAAGAGAATTTCAATATGTGTCCATAGTCACCAATGACAACAATATTGATGTGGAAATTAATCATAGAATAACTATGGGAAATAAACGCTATAATGGAATACAGAATTTACTTAGATCAAAATTTATAAGAAAAGATACTAACTGCAAAATATATAAAATCCTTATAAAACCTGTTGTACTTTATGGTAGGGAGAGCTGGGCACTCAATAAATTAAATGAAGATAAACTGAACATTTTTGAAAGAAAAATTCTAAGGAAGATCTATGGAACAAACGATGTAAGTGGAGTATGGAGAATAAAATATGATGAATTATATAAATTATTCAAAGAACCAAATAGTGCAGCCAATAAAAAGAAATAGACTGAAGTGGGTAGGGTATAACAGAAGGATGGATGAAAATTTGCTCTGCAGGAAATTAACCTTCTCTCAGCTACAAGGCAGTAGAAAGAAAGGAAG